GTACATAATAATCTCAGAGACTACTGGTCAATTTAAAATAAAAACTTTTCAATATTACGGTGCCCATATACACAAAAATGGTGCAACATTCTTTCTTCGTAATTAGTTTATTAAAAAATCACAGTAAATAAAAGTCACATGGAATACAGTCACTAATTGTGAATATCTCAAGAAAACATTCCCTTAATTTGGACATATTATATATTTGCTTAAATAATACACCTTATAATCATGAAATGAAGGCAAGCATCCTGTATACAGAATAAGGTGGCCATTCAAAGCGTGATATAAATATGAATTAAATCGAATGATGCCTTTTGGGTGTCACTTGAAACAGGACGTTGGAGAATCATACATGTCAAATGACGTCATAGTAAAATATCATTCGTTTTCCAAATGCTACTAAATGACGTGATTAAATAGATTTGTAATCAGGTGAAAATTTACTTAATTATATCCCAACATGTATAATTATTTAAGCAACGTTGTATTTAAAACATCAATTTAAATACTAGCACGCGATATCCCGGATGATGATCCTAAATGCTGCACGTTTAAAACGATATTTAATACATAGCAATCATACATTTGTTTTAACTTACTTGTTTATTAGTGCATTATTAGACATGACTTCTAATGTATGTATGTATATAAAGATATTTATGTATATATATCTAAATATATCACTTTATATAACTTGCAGGTTACGCAAACTTGTTAGGAGCGCTTTATTGCTAAGTAATGAATTATACGTACACTTTACTAGTAGTATATTATATTAGTATACTCTAGCTTCGTGTCATAGTTGACCCTTAAAATTATCCTATTTATTCCAAAACATCTAGGATAAAGATAATATTTAAATACGATCATCAATAGCCAAGAACTATCACCATCATCAATGATGACATCATCTAGAGAAAGAATAAATGCTCTGAAATATATATTTTAGTTTTTATAAATATGAAATTTTATTCTAAACTATGAAGTAGCTTTACTGATTTTAGTATTGTTAATCTATTGAATTAGTTATCATTGGTTATGGAGATAAATCGTAGAAAGTCTGTCCCGTTTTAGATTAAATTACTTCAAACTAATTGAAGTGCTTATTTATCTGATTCGTACCTAGTACATTAACAACAATCGAAAAACTTTTAATATTTTAACAGAAAGTCAGTTAGCCAATAGTAATAACCGACGTTGTAAGATAGAATCTCGTTGCAGAATCCGTATTGCGCCATTAAGAGGTCATCCGACATGTTAGAATAGCCTGCAGTTGTTTACAGACTACCCACTTAATTCACTTGTTATTTCAACACTAGCTATTGTTTCTACATTTTCATTAAACTTACAATATATCTGTTTTCAAAGTGACAAATGAAATTGCCCTTTAAAATTATAATACCAGAACAGCAGGGAGAAGTAAATTAAGATTATTAAGCATAAATTGTAAAATACGAGAATTTTCTTTGTAAATGAAACAAGAACAGCCTTCAAAGCCTGTTTGTAATAGACGAATATTTGTCTAACTTCTAAGATAAATATTCTACTGCTTCTCTAAAGCGTATTTAAAGTAACACGGCTCAGTTTAAATTCGGAGTTCACTTTTTAAACAAAAAAAACTCGTTTATTCGGGTCATCGGTCAAGCATTGAGCGTACGATATATGACCGCGTTCAAATAAAGATTATTTAAATGTAAATAAAGTTAAAGGTAAAACCTTCGATAAAAAATACATTCCTTAATCCCACGTTCCACTGACTGACTGACATCAATATTTTTATTACTGCTTTTTATTAGCTGAACAATCAATTATTTTCATTATCGTTGTTCGGTCTGTGGCGATATTTTTATGTTTCAAAAAAATAATAATCACAGAAATATGTATTATACTAAGATGTGCTTAAATAATTATAAGACCTAACTTGCATAATACAAGAGTTTTCTATCACAATTTTGTTACACTGCCTACAATATAGCTTGCTATAAATTTGTAAATCTGATAGGTGAGTCAAATAACTGTAAAGCTCTATAGAAATCTTTACAATAATTTACAAGTGAAACAACTCAGAAACTTTCGTTTTTAATGTTAGCAATATATAACTATGTATAATATAATTTATTTAAAACGATGAATATCTTCGTCGAAACCTCATTCTCTACAAAACCTATGTCTTAAATCTTGACATTGAACTTGTAAACTCTAGTCATATAGCAAGATTTTATTCTTAAACCTTCCTCCTTGGTATTAAGAGCTATATTCATTTAAACATTCATTAATTGTTTTATATTTAAGACAATGGGAGCGCTCTTTTGTCACGGTACTTTTCGTAACGGTGCAAAGGCGTGAAGGTATAACAACCATTGTTCTGGACGGGCTTATAGTTTTTCCAAATTACTCTATATGTGAGGATAAAACTTGTTAGAAATTAAAAAATATTAAGTTAAGATAAACAATGTTTCTTCTATTATTTAATATAACCATGCAGTCACATATATGGAGGCAAGCAAATAGTTATTCTCTCATAGAATGTATCTCAACGTGCACTGTTAATTTTTTTTCATTTATTACATGGACTGGTTTAAAAAATATTAACTTATAATAAATAACTCATAATTAATATAAAAACATGCGTTGCTAATATATATATTTACTATCTGAATATTATGAGCAATCTTTCTATTTTAGTGTATGCTGTATTTTAATATCGTATTGTTTTCTTCAGGGTTATGCCTTTACAGTTTTCTATTGATATAACAAATATTGTTATATAATAATATATATTTATATATATTACTTACTATATATATCACCTCATCTACTTGCTAGAAATAAAATCCTACATCCTTTTTTTTAAAATAGAACACACATCTTTTCAACAACACTTTTAAAACACACTTTTCTCTTAATTTTACAAAATTGCAATCTTTTTGATATGTTTTCAATGAATAAAACAAATTTTTACTCACTTACCACATACCTATATGTATTTATATATGCTGCAAAATTTTAGGAAATTCATCTTAAACTTACAGTAATAAATGACAATTTAATAACGTTGACCAATAGTATCGATATGTGGAGACAGTGTTATAAAAAATTTGATAATATAACAGAAGAAGTCGACTACACGAAATATTGTATGTATTTAAAAGTCTAAGCTTAAAAATGGATGAATATTTTTTAACATATCTAGAACATTTATCTTTATATATTTTGTACATCCATGAAAATAATGACATGTCAATGTCACTAAATATGAAAGCGATAGTTGAAGCAAGACCATGTTTCGTCACAAATTAACACTTACAGACTGAGAGTGAAAACTGCATAATAGTAAACTTCTCTTAACAAACATACATTTTTAATAATTTATATGTTAAAATATATATAACGATTTTTAATTTTCACATACATTCCGGTTCATGGACACTAAAGTATAAAACTATTATTTAAATATCAACATTCACGTTATTTGGGAACAAGAAATTATTATATTTCAGTCATAAAATGATATGGACAATCAAGATTTCAAACCCTAGGAAGTGAAAGTTTATTGCCGCAAATAATCTTAAATATATAGCAAAATAATTATCCCTGACAAATTTGTTTTAACCGTGTAAAAATTTCTACTGATATTTTTAAGACAAAATTACCTTCACGATACAAACCATACCAATGTATTACATTTTGCATACTGTTATCCTTCTAATATATATGTATATATTAGAAAGGATAACAGGAAAACCTTATAGTATATAAATTTTATGTTTATACCGTAAAAATAAAATTCATAACGGGATCTGGATAAGTTCAATGTCCGTTGTAATTATAACGCCCGTCAATAGATGGCGCTTTATACAATTAATAAAGAGCACACTTGTTATTACTTAAATCGTTTATTGAAAATATTCCCTGTCGTAATATTTTGTGGTTGGATTTATATTAAAACTTTATATAAATACTCATTTCTATAAAAAAGGTCATAAGTGACTAGACCAGACAGTGAATGGTGACCTTCGTATAAATCCCTGATTCAAATCCGCTCACTAATAACTTAACCATCGCAAGCAAGCTGATGATGACGGTTTTTTTATATCAAAATAATACTTACATTAAAGAAACAACATTCTAGAACATTCATCACCTTCGGAAAACCTTGATTAAGTTAGAAAAAATAAAAAACATTGGAATTAAAAAGAATAGACGATGTTCATCAATAAAAACGTAACTGAATTTAACCTGGAACAAAAGTATTAGTTAATAATTTAAAAATTCGTCTCCGAATATATCTGATTCCATTCGAGTTGATTTCAGAGAAAATTAAATAAAAGTTTGCATTATTCAACCCAACATCATGAATATGAAACAAGATAATTTTTTACTAAAACATTTATTAATAATTATAAAATTTTCAGGACTAAGTTGTTTCAAGAAAAATAATTGTAAAGTCGCTTAAAAAGATTCGTAATTTTGAGTATAAATAAATACTAAAATGTTTACTTTCGAACCTGAATTTACGATAGATTTAGTAGGGCATTAAGAATTCGCCTGGGTTAAATTCCGCGTAACTTGTTAATTTTTTAACTCTGCATATGTGTGTAATGTGTGTTTCGTAACAGAAATGTTACATATAAGTTACACAGAAAAATATCTTTACATCTAACTTGCTATAATTATTTAGACCCTTTTTAATTTTCCATGTGCATTATCAGTAAAATGTATAAAATTATAGATTACATGATTCGAAAATTACTTTTGATTTATATAAAATAAAGCCATATAATATCTAACTAAATAAACAAATTACTTTGAATTTAACTTTTGCCATTAAGTAGGCTTAAAGATATTTAATAAATACCGAAATAACATCGATAAGAACGACATGTTATTTATTATTTAAAAAAAGTAGTATTTATTGTGGTTTAAATTGAAACTGTTACTTATCATATTTATTAAAATTACAGAAACCTCGGCAGCAGAACGTCGTCTGGAGCAACATGGGTCAAGAACAGTCGTACATTGCACAAGGCAACCTCTCGCCAGTAAAGAAATACCAAGATAAGTACGAGAATCAGATACAATATACAGTATCGAATATCGAATATCGATCGAGCGAATACGATAGGAAGGATTACATACGATATAAACCAAGACGAAGTACGGAAAGTTATAAGAGCGACAACTCTTCAACAGAGAGCAGCGGTTACAGAAGCAGTTCCAGTGCTAACGAATGTTCCGACAGATCGTCCAGCAGCTATTACTTCTGCTCGTCGTTATATAAGAACGATCACTACAAGAACGCTAACAAAGATTTATATAGACCTGTTAAAATACCAAAAGATAAACGATACAAACAATTATTCGATACGGAGGACACAAAAAACACCAGATTGAAGGGTTACGTTTCAGATACCGAAAAGGCAAAATCGAAAGTAGCTTCCTCTACTAAGAAGACTGGAATAAGAAATTACACTCCTAAAATTTTATCAGCCGAAGAGCAGAGAAAAAAATTAGAAAATTGGATTTAGAGGGAGATTAAAATAAGTTGTATATATTAGTATAGGAGTAGATGTATTTGGAAGGTAAACATGGAGGCGGCTGGTGCATTGGCGAGTCTAGCTCCTTCGCCGATTACCGTGCTGGGACTGATACCACTCTTAGCACTTGGGATCACCTACTTCAGATATCAGCAATATGATCCGGAATCTTATATCACAGACACAAACGTTGTGAGTATAATATAAACATTAAACATAGTAATAATCAACACGCGACGGTTAAATATTGTTACAACGTATAATAAATAATATTATGTTTCTTGGTCGACTTTGATATTATATGTATATGTAATATTCTGGTTAAGTAACAAAAATAACCTTTATTATAGCTTTACATACATATATACCACTAAATGACAGAGAATATGATTAATTCAGTTGCAATTATCAATGTCATATAAAAATACTAAGACTTGTATTAATTATTCCAGATATTGCCAATCTATGACTTCGTGGTGGTCGGGGGCGGCTCTGCAGGTGCAGTCATGGCATCACGACTCTCTGAGATTGGTAATTGGACTGTCCTGCTCCTTGAAGCCGGTCAAGATGAAAACGAGATTTCTGATATCCCAGCATTAGCCGGATACACCCAACTATCGGACATGGATTGGAAGTTCCAAACAACGCCGTCGAAAAACCGTTCTTATTGCCTCGCTATGAACGGTGACCGATGCAATTGGCCTAGAGGAAAAGTCCTCGGCGGAAGCAGTGTCCTGAATGCAATGGTTTATGTCAGAGGCAATCGCAACGACTACGATTTATGGGAGGCTCTGGGCAATCCGGGCTGGTCGTACGATCAAGTATTACCTTACTTTTTGAAATCTGAAGATAATCGAAATCCTTATTTGGCCGCAACACCGTATCATTCAGCAGGTGGATATTTGACGGTTCAAGAAGCGCCGTGGCGGACACCGTTATCCATTACATTTTTAAAAGGCGGAATGGAACTAGGTTATGATTTTCGCGATATAAACGGCGAGAAACAAACGGGTTTTATGTTGACGCAAGCAACTATGCGTCGTGGGAGCAGATGTAGCACGGCCAAAGCTTTTCTTAGACCAATACGTAATAGAGAGAATTTGCACATAGCTCTGGGAGCGCAAGTCACTCGTATACTAATAAACTCGGTCAAGAAACAAGCCTACGGTGTCGAATTTTATCGTAACGGCCAAAGACACAAAGTCAGAATAAAAAGAGAAGTAATCATGTCCGCCGGAGCATTAGCAACGCCCCAAATAATGATGTTGAGTGGTATCGGACCCGCAGATCATCTCAGAGAGCACGGCATACCACTTGTTGCAAATCTTAAAGTCGGTCACAACTTGCAAGATCACGTAGGACTAGGTGGTCTTACATTTGTCGTTAACAAACCGGTCACATTTAAAAAGGACCGGTTCCAATCATTCTCAGTTGCAATGAACTACATTTTATATGAGAATGGACCGATGACGACACAAGGCGTTGAAGGTTTGGCATTTGTCAACACTAAATACGCTCCCACTTCTGGTAACTGGCCCGATATTCAATTTCACTTTGCACCTAGTTCAGTAAATTCTGATGGAGGGGAGCAGATACGAAAAATATTGAATTTACGTGACAGAGTTTACAATACCGTATACAAACCGATGGAAAACGCTGAAACTTGGACCATACTACCTTTGTTATTGCGACCCAAAAGTTCGGGCTGGATAAAATTAAAAAGTCGAAACCCGTTCCAAGCGCCATCGATTGAGCCGAATTACTTCGCATACAAAGAGGACATTAAAGTACTAACGGAAGGTATAAAGATAGCTTTCGCCTTATCAAATACCACCGCGTTCCAGAGATACGGGTCGAGACCTCTTAACATTCCATTGCCGGGTTGCCAGCAGCATGTACTATTCAGTGATGAATATTGGGAATGCAGCCTTAAACACTTCACGTTTACAATTTACCATCCTACCGGCACATGTAAGATGGGTCCCAATCATGACCAGGATGCTGTTGTCGATCCAAGATTACGCGTCCACGGGGTTGCCAACCTCCGAGTTGTGGATGCAAGCATCATGCCCACGATCATCAGCGGCAACCCTAATGCTCCAGTAATTATGATAGCCGAAAAAGCCGCCGACATGATCAAAGAAGACTGGCTTGTATTATGACAGTGTTTTGTTTTGCTGTGTTTGAAGTCATTGAACCATTAGGAACTATTTATGTCACAAAGTACTTTTAGTTGTTTATTTTTAAAACAATTATAATTAAGTATGTACATAATCTTATTATACCCAGTATTGTTAATAAAGAACGTAATAAACCTTTTCAATTTTCTTATCCTTAGTATTAAAATAATATAACGAATACTACATAAAACAAGTCTTAATTAAGTTTTTTAAATCAGTTTATGCATTTATATACCGAATATTACATAATTCTTAAATAAATAAATAAACTCTTAAATATTATAAATTTAATGTTATATGTATTATTCTTAAATACCGATCAGGAACACGTATAAACGTCATCTACCGGCGAGTAGTTGAAATAAATAATGTTAATTGTTATATATGTTAGCGCCATCGATGCGTCATCACCGAAGCATACACAAATGTCTGTTTGAAACCTCTCATAATGTTTTTCGAACGATTACTTTTACTAGAAATATATATAATTAAAAGCCATAATATTAAAGGATTTATTGTGCATATTACACTACTAATGATAATTATTAGTATATCTGTAACGATCATATGTATGCAACCACCAAGTTAAGATGCAGCGAAGTATGCATTTCCTATTGCACAATGGCTCTAATAAGTAACAAGATAGATGCTTGCCACAGTTCCGACATCAGAGCTTTCACGTAACGCCTGTCAGATCAAGGTGGTTACTTTGTAATTTGTATTAGCTTTCTTTTATTATAGATATACATAAATATTTGATATCCTATTAATATTATAAACACGAAAGTTTGTTGGGACGGGTTTAAGCGTGACTGTATGTTACTCATTCAGTATTACATACATATACATGCAGAGTTCCCAAAGGAACTATGTGGCTCTAATTATTTTTTATTTCTCATATATTAAGCACGAACTAAACTTTTCCATCAAGGCCCAATGTAGAAAACTAGGAGGTATGAAGACTCGAGCGAAAGTAGATAATAGTATGAAAGTAAAATAACAGATATGATTAACAGAGATGTGATAGTGCCTAGCAGTAGTCAATTGATAATATGTAGTTGTACTTTGTATAGTACTAATTGATATTAGTTGTTGCGCCTGCGGTACTTATAATAATCCTGTCTTTATTTTGATGAAATCCAGGTCCCAATAGACAACAAACCAGCTACCACTACAGGATTACATGGAGAAGGCAATATCTTAACTTCACGTATATTGTGTTTAATGGTCTAGGTATGAAATATACCACCAAAAACAAAATTTAAAAAAGGAGAGACAAGTTCAATACAAAATTATGCCTGGGCTTTTTCGCAAAAATAAATGGAGATTTAAATGAGTGCCAAGTTCGAAATCGAAATATATATTTATAAGAGCAAAATAATAATATGATTAAACTCTATTTCTTTGCTTTATAAGGTACCCGTAACAATAGCTTATTTAAAAATGTGACATATGATGTAGGTTAGATTTGACTTGGTCAGATTTACTCAGAATTAAAATGTTAAGTAACTTTATGAAATGACTGATGTAATGAAAGTGGCCGGTTATAGCGTATATTACAATTTTTACTGTATGAGGACGCCACTTATTTACTGATTTTGTTAAAGTAATTTTTTCCTACACTTAAACGTAATTACCCAGCTGGGATCCAGATTTCATCTTTCCAAATCATCTTGAAGTAGGTTAGGTTTAGGTACTATATGTCAGTCAGTCAGATAGTGCAATATTTGTGACTTTTACCCTTCATCTTTTTATATCCGTTTGATCTAGCTTCAATAAATTTGATCTTCCAAATGTATAAAATTAAACAGACGTAGTTTGATGTGTTAACGTTAAAGAAGTTTTGATTTATAGAAGGGTCAAAAGTGACATCAATTGGTTCATGTAATGAATGATAAACTAGACGCTGGGAAGTTAGTTGCCTAGAACTTGGCTTGGCACGCTGTCGCGTGATTAGAGCTTGATACTGAACCAACAAATAAAATCTGACAAATCTATTCAAAGTAGACTACATTAAAAAACAGCTTTTCTTATTTTTTAGTTCTTTCAACCACCATATTAATTTTCTTGTTACGCTAGTCATATTCCTATTAAAAGAAAGTTCTTCTCTTATTTATAAACAGCTGTAAATAAAATTGTGCAAGACCGATATGAAACCTCATTACATGTTTATGGCGCGAAAGAAAGGTGAAATATTTCAACTAAATTATAAATGTATTACCATCACAGATCTTGTTTATATAAATCTAAACTGGCGCCTCATAACAAAACATAATTCAATGAGAACAATTATTTTTTTATACCTAACTTCATATCATCAACTTTATATGACGTAATTATACTATTAAGAAAACAACATTATTTCCATATGACGACTAATGATAAACAATATTTGATACAAGGGTACAAAATAAACAATTTTTCTTCTTTATCAATAGTCATAATTCACAATACACCTTCATTTCATTGCCCATTCAGTTATCCTAATTATATAACACAAATTATAGTTAACACATATATGAGACATCCATAGCATTCTAATTATTTATATTAACGTAACGATAAATTATGAAATATATTTCGTTTGTATATAAAAAATATAATTTAGTTAATTTAATCCGATAGAAACTTTTTTTCTACTGAACCAGTTCCATAATTATATGTGTTTATGTATAAAGAACGCTTTTCGTAAAGGATTCTTATTTATTAAAACCATATTGATAATGTTTTAAAACAAAAATTAAACTCTATTCTTTTAGTGTTTAGGTCAGTTATTTACTTTATTTTTTTATGTACGTAATTTTAATATGAGTTTTATCTAAATATGTTCTCACGGCCCGAAGTGAAAATACTATTTCATACCCCTGGGAAATGCTTCTTGAATAAATAATTTAACTAAATAAGAAATAATTGTCACTGTTGTGGATAAATTCGTAAAGTCAACACATTTCTTTCAAAAAAGTCATTTAAATAATTATAAAGGAAATAAAATAACATTGTAATTTTATTATATAATCATAGTTTTAAATAGACAATATATCTCTGGAATAAACATATACAAGAAAATTACAATTTAATATCTTGTTATGCTAAAACATTATTTGAAATTGGTATAAAAAATTATTATTTATTGAATATAATTAGCAAATAAAACGTATTTAGTATTATTTATTAGGTCCATATATTTTGTAATTATTTGCAGTGAATGGATGCAGACTTAATTTAAGAATAATAAAAATGTCCATAATAGTATAGCATAGTTAAACAAAAAGTTGAAGCGAACAGAGGAGTATGCATGAATCCCATAAATTTGAAGGTGACTCAATATTCCTTTTGTGACTAAAATTCCCTTTACCATCTCTATTTTAACCATTACGTCATATATATAAAATATGTATATAAAATGTATACTGTATGTGTATAAATAGGCTTTGTTTTCTAAATTGTCTTTAAGCATAAATAAAAATAACAATAAGTTACGATTAATTTATATAAAATCATGTGACCCTTTCGGTCTGTAAGAGTCTATGCTTTAGAATAAAGGCAAAGTGCGTGCCATCCGTCGACCTCCTTTATGTTTATGTCGTAAGGCGAATATTAACAACCGAATACTTTAATTATATAAAATGCTATAACATTTCATAACTTGAATATTTATAAGTAAAACTTTCTCATCAAAATATGTCAATTATTTGTTAAGCTATTTCGGAAAGTAGCACAGATTGAAAACGAGAGATAATTCAGTCATTATATATAAATGTAAGCGCTATAAAATAAAATAAACATTTCCTAAAAGTATATAAATATATAGATTGAAACGTACTCAGTAACGCAAACAAACATGAATATCTAAAAAACAGTAATTAGTTTTTAATACATATAATTATTTAATTAAAATAAAATTAATTAAAATAAATATCATCATTCATTGGTACAATACGAGCGTTCATTGAGACATCAGAGGAATGACGTAATGTTACTTTCAATATCTGGATGAAGTCGAAAGTGTTTCCTTAGCTGTAACCAACATTGTACTGACCAGTTCCTGGTTGACACGCCTTTTACATTACTTTATGATATCTTAACTAGCGTTCAGAAATAATAATTTAATATATTTTAAAAGAAAAAATCTGAAAGTTTAATTCAAATAAAGTTAGTATGGGAAGTGTAAACGATTTGGCAACGAGGGTTGAGTGCAGTGATGAGGCAATCAGTAGTATTACGTACATACGTCGCTTTCAACACACGAATAGAAATTAATAGGGTAATCAGAATTCTGCATGCTCTAAATTACCTTCACCTAATATATACCGATGGCATACAAACAAATGTTAAAACATACTAATTTTGACATGTGAACAAATGTTGACATAAATAAAAAATATTGATTAAATATTTTAAATATAAATCTAATATAGGAAACGTAAAATAATATACAAAAATATAATAAATGGAACGATCCATTCATCAGAACGTGACCCACGTCAGGTTCAACCCCGGGCCGACCCACAACCCACAAGTAACGCACTCGTAACACACATTACGACCCCTGTTACTTCATCGGCGCCCGCGCAACACCAGACAACAGTCGACCACGCGCTCTCGGAACGCTCACTCGCTTCGGACAAACATAAAGCATTAATTTACAAAAGTTAGTATTGGGATTTTAGTTAAAAGAAATTGTTATTAAATATCTATAAAGATTTTGACAAAATAGAAATCTGAATAGTTATTTAAAGCGCGACTTGGTATTGCTTTGAATTATTCTAATGTAAATTTAGACGGCCGTTGCGAATGTTTATTTATTATAATAACGCTTGGTGGTATAATAGAACCTTACCTAATATAACGTAATGTACGCCGAACGTTATGTAAAATCCAGATATAACATGAAGTTGTTTATAAGAAATATTTGTGCGTGTTATAATTACTTAATATGATGTACTTACTTGTTATGTGTTATGTTGCAAATATAACATTTTGCGGATGATTATGATTAGTGATTAGCATTTAAGGCCAATCGTGATTTTCAATCGATCTCACTAAGTTGTGCAATAATTTTGTTGCAAAAAGATTATAGTTCACTTAACAGAAATAAGAATTTATACTTCAATTCAT